TTTACCAAATTCATCCCCCAAATTCTCTGCAACTTCTCTTCGGGAAATTCCCCCCAAAGGGGCACAGTGTCATCAGAAAAGAGCAGCTGTGACAACCCCCACTTTGGGTGTGTTCTTTACTTTTAACTCCACGCCTCTTCCCAAGGGAACCCTCGCTTTTTAATTCTCTTCCCAAACCCCATCTAAAAAAAAAAAAAAAAAATTAAAAAAACAAACCACGGGTGACTTTCACAATCCTTGTCAAAGGGCCAACTTTTTCGGGAAAAAATTTCCCTTTTTCCTACTTACTCAAATTGAGCCTCCTATCTCGTAAAAAATCTTCACTGCTTTTCCCGTAACCTACCCCCTTCACCATACACTTGCAAAAATCTGCCACATTGCCCCCCTATCCACCCCGTCATAGCCTTTTCCAAAAACCATAAAGGGCCCCCAAAGAACCCCCTTTAGCCTTATCTAAAAACTGTTTTACTTATATGTTTTTACTGTAAACACCTGGGGGCCCCACACCCCCACCTTTCCCATAAACCCCCTTGTTCATTGCTATCCTATTCTCCGTTTTTACTCTTTAAATTTTTTCAAATTTTAAAATCTACCATTAAAATTTTTCCCGGTACACTCAAAAGACTTATCCCCCATAATTTTTGCACTCTCCCTTTTTTCCCCTTTGCCTTTATACAAAGGAACTAAGCATGCCTCTGCCAATCCCTTTGGTACCTTTTCCCTTTCCATAATTTTTTTAAATAATTGCCCAAACCCCTCCAAAACATATCCCCCCCTGTTTTAAAAATTTCTATCTTTACCTCAATCCCGGTGCCTTACCCCCAAAATTTTTCTCCAAACTGCCAATATCCCAAAACCCCCCCTTTAGAGTGCAGTCATTGTTTCTTCCCTTTTTCCGGGGCTCAAGTCCCGGTTATTTAAAATAACCCGGGTTTTCCCCGAATCCCTTCACTAAAAAATTACCCTGCTCACACTCCCAAAAGATCGTAAAGGGCCCAAATTTCCATTTGTCTCCAAATTACTCCCAAAAATTTTCACGACGCCCTTCTGGAAATTAAAACCCCCCGCCCAAAACCTCCCTTTTCCCCCCTTTTTTTCCCTACTTTTTAGAAAACCCCTTAAATTTTTAAATTGAATAAAAGTTTTAACAACTTCCTAATTTTTCCAAAATATAACCCGAACTAAATTTTATATACTGTTCTGTATCTTAATTCTGTATAAAAAAATTTTTTAAATTCCACAAAGGTCATGTCAAAAATGCTTTTGGGGGGGAAAAAAACACAGGGCCCCACAAAATTTATTATGCAATTACATAATCTGATTGAACTTTATAAAAATTTGGGGTCTTAAATGTGCGTGGATGTAGTGCGGATGACGAGAAACAGTGATTGCTGATGTTAGGGAAAGAAAAGAAGTTGGTTTTCCTGGCCCCTTTAAACGAAAACAAAACGAAGGGGTAGGGGAGTTTTGGTGGGGGGGAAAAAAATGGGATTAAATCTGGGGGTATCTGAGGAGGTTTTGAGCAAAAAAAGGGGTGCAGTTTTAAAGTTTAAAAGATCAGTTATGGGAAAGGGGGAAAAAGAGAATAGAAAGTTTTAAATGCCAGAATTATGTGGATTAAAGTAAAGGTTTTTGGGTGCGGAAAAAAATGGGGGTTTAAAAAGCGTTTTTATGACCTGGGGAAGAGGGAAAAGCAGAGGAGAGGAGAGATTTTGGGGGGATGTTAAGTTTTAAAGTATAGGGCCTTTTAACCAAGGGGAAGAGTAATTGTGGTTGGGGACCTGAAAGCTAAAATAGGAGAAAAAAAATTTTTTAGTTTGGGGGTGTGGTAGGTAAGTTTGGTGGGGGGCCAGGTGTAAAAAAGTTAATGGGAGCCCCCTTTTAATTTAACTTTGTATAGAAAGGGGTTTTGTTATAGGTTAAAACATTTTTAAAAAAAAAAGAGGAAAATAAGTTACAAGATATGATGTAGGGGGGAAAAAAACAGTAGTTTGTTGGGTTTTGTTTGGTAGATAAAAGGGGCTGTTGGAAATTTGACTTCAGGGTGTACATGTTTTTAAAAGGGGCCACAGATATATCAGATACTTTCTATTGTACACACTGAGAGTAAAAGGTTGATGGGTAAAAGGAGAATAGAAGCATGGGGAAGGGGAGAGGTGAAGGTTTATAAATAAAAGAGGGGCATTATTTTAAGATAAAACAGCTATTGGAGGATGAGGGGCTAATGGAGCATGGCAAGGGGGTCAAAGAGGTATGGGGTTTTTTAAAAATGTAGTGTTAGAGTGTTCAGCAAAATTTGGGGTTTTTACGGGAAAGGGGGGTGCGGGAGGGAAGGAGCGTTGGGGGAATGAGATGTGAAGGAATAGAAAGGGAGAAAAATTAGAATATGAAATTTTTTTAAAAAGCAGAATGATGAAAGGAGGGAAGAGTAAGGGAGAAAAAGAGGGGGTTTAAGAGAGTGGTAAAAACCAATGTAAAAAGAGAGCAAAGAAGAGGGGTGAGTGTTACAACAAATTTTGTTGAAATAAGAAAAAGTTTTGGAGTGAGATTAACAAGTTAAAAAAGCCTAAGAAAAAAGGGGATTTGTCATTAAAATGGGAGAGGATTTATTAAATGGAGGTTAGAGGTATTGGGAAGATGGGGGGAAATTTTTTGAGGAATTGTTAAATGTTGATGAAGTGGGAAGCTGGATTTGTGATAGGGAAGGGGGAACAACACTTGGGAGTGAGGAAGACCCAGTTGTGAGTGTGGGGGAAGTTCGTGGGGCAGTATTTTAAAAAAAAGGGGGGGTAAGGCGCGGGTTTGATGGGAAAAGATAGAAATGTTAAAAGCAGGGGGGGATATGTTTTGGATGGTTGGTTTTTAATTATTTAATAAATGTATGGAAGGGGTAAATACCCAGGGGTTGGCAGAGGCATGCATATTCCCCTTTTTAAAAGGCAAAGGGGGGTTTAAAAAAGAGTGCAAAAAATTATAGGGGATAAGTTGTTTATATACCTGGCAAAGTTATGGTAGAGTTATTTTTGAAAAAATAAGGTTTAAAACGGGGAATAGGGTAGCAGATGAACAAGGGGCTTTAGGAAAAGGGAGGGGGGTGTGGACCAGGTGTTTACAGTGAAACATATAAAGGGAACAGTATTTAGATAAAGGGTAAAGGGCTTTGTGGGATTTATGGATTTGGAAAAGGCGTAGACAGGGGGGATAGGGGGGGGAATGGGCGATGTTGCGGGTATGGTTAGGAGGTGGTTACTGAAAACAGTGAAAAGTTTTTTTCAGGTAGTGAGGTCAAGTTAGGTTGTAGGAAAAAAGGGGAAATTTTTCCCCGTAAAAGTAGGCCTTAGACAAAGGAGTGTATGTCACTTTGGTTGTTTAATATTTTAGATGGGGGTTTTAAGGAAGTAAATGCGAGGGTTTGGGAAGAGGCGTGGAGTTAAAAAATAAAGAAAACACACATAGAGTGGGAGTTGTCAAAGTTTTCTTTGCTGATGCACTGTGCTTTGGGGGATTCTGAAAAAAGTTGCGAGATTGGTGGGTGAATTGGTAGGGTGTGCAAAAGAAAAAATTGAAAGTGAATAAGGAAAGGTAAAGGGTTTTGAGGATAACAAAAAGATTGGGGATGAAAATTGGATATCAATTGGAGGGGGGAGAGTATGGAGGAGGGGAATGTTTTTCAGATATTTGGGGTGGACTGTCAGGGATGGGTCTATGAAAAATGAATGAATCATAGAAATTTAGAGGGGAAAAGGGTGAGTGGGGGGCACTTAGGAGTCTGTGGGGACAAAAAACTTTGTCCCTTGGGGGTAAAGAGGGGGAAAGTAGAGAGTATATTTTACCAATCTCTTTATGGGTGTGAAGATGGGGGATGAATGTTGCAGCGAGAGAAAGGGGGAGGCAGTGGAGAGTCATTCAGGGCTGTGGGTGTGAATATAATGCAGAGAATTCGTAGTTTGGGAATTTGGAGGGGGTGGGGATTCCAAAAAAAGTTGCCCGTGGGTGAAGAAGGGGTTTTGAGTGGTTCGGGACTGTGGAGGAATGGGGCGAAAAGAATAACTTCAAGAGTGACAGTTGTAGTGGGGGAAAGGGAAGGGGGGGTAGGGGTCGGTAGGAAAGGTTGGAGGGAGGGGGTAAAGGGGTTTTTTGGCGAGGGGCTTTGGGCTTCCGCAGGGATGCGGGGGGTTTTATAGGGTGAATGGAGACAATGGTTTTTTAATACTTGACCCTGGTTTTGGGGTGTGAGCAAATAACATTTTTGAGGGGTTTAGGGAAAAAACCGGGAGGCCGGACTTTAGCCTGGAGATGGGGGAAATACGTGCCTGCACTCTGAAGGAGGGGTGTTAATGTTGAGTTTAAAAATGAGTGTAAACACCCTTCTGGCAAGACAGTGATGGAGTGAATGATGGTGAAAGTTTTTCTTTTTCGGGCCACCCTGCCTTGGTGGGAATTGGCCAGTGTGATAATAAATAAATAAATAATCTGTAATTATTAATTATACAATATCAAAAACTTATTCAGTGATTTGTGAATAAAAATTTTATTTGTATTCAATGAAAATTCCTAAAGCAGTTCGACAAATGAGACTGAAAAGCACAGCATCAAAAAGACTTACCTGACGTAAACAATTTGAAATTACATAAAGTATTAAATTCCCACATGTGTCATTTCTTTTACTTCCATCTACCAAACACCATTTAAAAAAAACTAATCTCTAGCCATGTATTTGTACATTTCAATATAAATTACAAGGGAACAATTTAATGTTATAATGCACAAATAACCCGCACATAAAAGAGAGAAGTTTACGACGACGTTTCGGTCCGACTTGGACCATTTACAAAGTGTGACTTTGTAAATGGTCCAAGTCGGACCAAAACGTCGTCATAAGCTTCTCTCTTTTATGTGCGGGTTATTTGTGTATCGTTCCAGTCACGGTATTGTGCCTTTTATGGTTATTTAATGTTATAATGCTTAAAAAATACAATCAATTTTTTTTTAAAGCCTACCTGATGTGCTTGACTCTGGCAAGGATAAATCTTCATCATCACTGTTCTCTGGTGAAGGAGCATCAACTGTTGGAGAGGGAACTGGACTCGGTTCTGGAAGAGACTTCATTTTCTCCGTCAGCTTTGTTTTCAATGTCTTCACTCGATTCCCAAAGTTTTTGTATGCCTGAAATGATAAAGTCATATATGAATCCTGGAGGTGGGCAGTACAGTGCCTGCATTCTGAAGGATGGGTGGGAATGCTATAGCTCTGGAGGTGAACAGTACAGAGTTTACACAATGAAGGATGGGTGGGGATCCTACAGTTCTGAGAATGATGACAGGAAGTACAGTGACTGCACTCTGAATGATGGGTGGGCATGTTACAGTTTGGAGTTATATAAATTGTGATGTAAGTGACCTGGCAAGATAGCCAGGGAATGTGTAGTGGTAAAAGTTTTTACTTCTATGGGTCGGCCTCCATTGGTGGGAAATGGCCAATGCGATAAAATATATGTACAGTGGACCCTAGGTTACTGGCTGTAATCTCTTCCAGAAGGCCAGCCAAAAACCGAAATGGCCAATAACCGATAGGAGTGAATGGAGACAAATGGTATTAGGGACCTGACAATCTGTTGGAGTGTGAGCAGGGTAATATTAGTGAAGGGATTCAGGGAAACCGGTTCTTTTTATATAGCCAGACTTGAGTCCTGGAAATGGGAAGCACAGTGCCTGCACTCTAAAGGAGGGGTTCGGGATATTAGCAGTTTAGGGGGATATGTTGTGCATCTTTATACGTATATGCTTCTAAGCTGTTGTGCTCTGAGCACCTCTGCAAAAACAGTGATTATGTGTGAATGAGGTGAAAGTGTTGAATGATAATGAAAGTATTTTCTTTTTGGGGATTTTCTTTCTTTTTGGGTCACCCTACCCCGGTGGGAGACGGCTGACTTAAAAAAAAAAAAATACACAAAACAATGAGAACTAAATAAAATATATACATGAACAATTAAATCAGTATTATATTACTTTATTGAAGACTGTTGTTGGCTTATGGAATAGAGGGAGGAGAGTTTAGTGTTTAGAAGGGGAATCCCCCTCCATCAGAACTTCAGGTATCAAAGCCCTATCTGGGGTTACTTCCTTTCCTTGTCTTTTAATGCCACTAGGACCAGTTTGAGAGTCAGTGGACCCTGTCGCACAAAATATCTGTCCAAAATATCTTTCCCTGAAGTGGGACAAGGTTCTGTCACAAACCCTATTGCAGATGTAGCTTGTTTCAGTTTGGGTTCAGGTGATTTCTCAGCAAAAGCTTTGAAACCCTAGTCCACTTATAAACTCCTTAATCTCTGAAGAAGCATCTCCTTCACTCCCTCTTCCCTCCTCTGAAGCAAGTTCTGACTGTGGTCTGTTCTGCTCCAGATGAGCTTTGCAGCTGTTCAGGGGTTAGCTTTCCCTGTGGTCCTCCCCCAAATCTTCCAATCCTCACCACAAACCTCCAACCTCATGGATTTGGGGCCCAGAGATACAATGGATTCACAAAGGCATAGGGTCCCTCAGGTCAGCCCCAAATCCTTCAGAATCCCCCTCAGACACATTTTTGGCCACAATTTTTCCATGCAAAAGTTCAAAGTCCGGGAAAGTCACTCTCTCCCAACTTTACCTATAAGGCTTACGCAATGGAGGTATTGAAGTGGATTCCTCCAGAACTCTCTTAGGTCAAATCTTGTCCGAGGTCACTTCAAAAAGCACCTTCAAAACACTGTTTTGGGTGAAACATTTTTTTGAGTTTAAAATGACCTGTGGTCCATGGGCTGGATGACAGAAGTGGTGTTAGAGGTAAGAATTTACACTGCAATGAAACAGAATTCCACAACAGTATGCTCCTACAAGTTGGAGATGAGCAGGAGCATTATCAAGTATACCAGGAGGCACTTGAGTGGCAATTAATGTTCCAGGGGTAAATTTTTTCACACTCGGCCAAACACTCATTCCACCTACCTCCTTGAAAATTGGCCTCTGACCCTGCATTATGTTAGCCTCAACATCACACACAATTTACTCTTGAAAAGGGCGTTCTTGAACATACTCTGGGACTTTCAGAGTGATTACCAGTAAAAGCTTCACTTGAAATCCCCATAGTATTAGCACAGAATAAAAGAGTAAGCTTGTCTTTCATAGCTTGTGTCCAGGCAGGGCTTTTCCTCCGGGTGTTTTGTAGTCCCTTGGCATTTTCTTCCAAAACCGGCCTGTTTCGTCACAACAAACACTGTTGGGGAGAATCCTTTAGCCTCATACGTACCCCTGAAATCGCACAAATTTTTAGCCGCACATTTATCAGAACTTGCACCTCTCCATGGCGCACCACATGTATATGCCACTACGCTTCTTAAATCTCCAAACCAGCCTTTGCTAGCCCAAATTCACTAACAGCAGCACTTGTTCCAGGCATTTTTATTTAAAGATCCACGTACAACTCTTTGGCCTTCTCACAAATCATGACTCCACAAAAACTATCTCCGCTAATTGTTTTTCCCTGATCCACAACAATCTAATTTTTTCCAAAATTCTCCATTATTGGCAACCTTTGTTTTGTTATCACATTTTACTCCTTTTGCAAATCACTTCCTGATTGTTCTTGCTTGCCAGGAGGGAAGTGATGGTAAATTGTTTTTCCCATACATCCTGCAATTCCAAAACTCGCATACCACTCTCCAAATTTTTCAATCATTTCTCCTTAAATTCCATTTGTTTTGACTTTCTTTCCACAGGAACTTCTACGAACTTTTTTTGGGCCATGTTACTTATTTTCGCAGCTGAACTTAATAAATACAAAGAAAAACACGATTATAGCGAAATGTTTGGATGAATAGCAAACTTCCTCACATCCGGCCCACGACACAGCTACCTTTGACTCAAATGGTCAAGCGTTGCCAGTCCATAAGCATCCAATACGGCCGTAAGCGAAATAACACGTAACTGGAAGCCAAAAACCGACTGATTAAGCGAGTTGGCCGATAAGCAGAACGGCCGATAACCAAGGGCTCACTGTACAAACAATGAACCATTGTATATACAGTACAGTACGTACTTGTTTAATAAAGTGATACAACACAGAACCCTGATACGAGGCATTGCCTCTAGAAAGGAAAAACTCGCCATTTTTAGTATGGTCAATCAAGCCTCAATTATTATTATAATCAAAAAGAAGCACAAAACCCCATACCCCCGGCCGGATTGACCCGCGGTCAAAGTCTCAATCCCGGCCGGGGGTATGGTTTATTTGCAATCGTGTCATTACGATTTCTTAAGTCAGAAGCACTGAACTTACAAGGGTCAATCAAGAGTAACAACAAATCTAAATATTGTTTTAATACATCCATAAACATTGTTTTAAAGCAATTCTTACAAAACTTGTAATGAAAAAACAGACACAAATGTAATATAATGCAATCCTTTATAGACTACATTTTGCCCATACAGTGGACTGCATCAACTCACAAACAGATCTGTTTGTGACTTGATAAAGTCCACTGTGTGGGCAAAATGTAGTCTATAAAAGATCGCATTATACTACATTTGTGTATTTTTCCATCCTTTCAGTATTTTATGCCTAATTTCCCTGCAATCCTATGGTGTATACCCATTAAGCTTACATATACATACACAACTTGTGTGACTTACTGTGGCCACCATTTTAGCCTCACCCCGCTGAGTTTCATAAAAAATTTCAGCTTGCTCAAGTAGGGTGACAACCTGTGTCCTTTCCTCAACTTCCTTCTGCACCGAGGCCATATAACACTCGAGAGCAATAACAGCTTCTTCAAACTCCTCCATTCGTTCTCGACTCGTTCCCCGTTCTGTTGGTCACACAATTTTAATGTGTAATAAATTATGTTATAAATATATACCACATACTCTTCACAAAAGCTACCCAACAGTATTTTAGTCAAACCCCCAAATTTGCAAGAGTTGGTTAAATTCTGTCTGTAGTGAAACAATTAAGATTTGGGGTCCTTTTGCATTTCTAATGCCAAATTTCTTTAGACATCACTTTAACCTGGTTAATATAGACATTCATGAGAATGTTCAAACAGAGATTTGAGCATGGAAAATCTTATGAGCACAGTCTTAATAAAATCAATGGGCACCACAAAAAAACTAAATAATCAAGGCTATTTGCAGCAGGGTAATCAGTAAAAACATTAGATAACCAAAGCACACAAATATATGAAGTTTGTGAGTTTGAGGGGCTCTACTATGTGCAAAGTTTACAAAAAAAAAAAACTGATTTTCAGAAGGTACAATTCATAGCAGAGGCTAAAAATACTGTTAGAGCTAACCCAATGGATTTTAGTGGACACAGTCTCTTGTTACTGACTTATGTATAAATACTATATAGAAGTTCAAGAGGAGATAGGAAAGACTTCCTTTCATCTTCAAAATACTCATTGAACTGCATAATTATCAAAATTTCAGAGAAAATTCACCATATCAGGACTTTCTGAAAAAGTAATAACAATTTCTACAACACTGAAATTGTCATTATGATCATTTTCAGAAAAAATCCTGATGGCAGTGATTCAATTTTCCCTGACTGTAAATAATTATTATTTCTTTCTTTCAACACACCGGCCGTATCCCACCGAGGCAGAGTGGCCCAAAAGGAAAAACGAAAGTTTCTCCTTTTAAATTTAGTAATATATACAGGAGAAGAAGTTACTAGCCCCTTGCTCCTGGCATTTTAGTCGCCTCTTACGGCACGCATGGCTTACGGAGGAAGAATTCTGTTCCACTTCCCCATGGAGATAAGAGGAAATAGACAACAAGAACAAGAACTAGAAAGAAAAAAAAGAAAAACCCAGAGGGGGTGTGTGTATATATATGCTTGTACATGTATGTGTAGTGTGACCTAAGTGTAAGTAGAAGTTAGCAAGACGTACCTAAAATCTTGCATGTTTATGAAACAGACAAAAGACACCAGCAATCCTACCATCATGAAAAAACAATTACAGGCCTTTGTTTTACACTCACTTGGCAGAACGGTAGTACCTCCCTGGGCGGTTGCTGTCTACCACCTACTACCTATATAACTAATTATATAGTGCAATAAGTATGTTTAAGGGACAAGGGGCTTGTAACCCCTTCTGTAAGGTTACTAAATTTGAAAAGAGAAACTTTCGTTTTTCTTTTTGGCCACCCTGCCTTGGTGGGATACGGCCAGTTTGTTGAAATAAAAAAAAAAAGTATGTTTAGGAATGAAATCTCTGCTTCCTCCTTTACTACACACTTCTGTAAAACCTTTGTCTATATTTAAGTGTGAACTATTAAGCAACATTTACAATACAAATAAGTCCAGTAAAATTCCCACAAGGTTACGGGTTTTATTAATTATATAATAATGAATGGATGTGGAGAAAGAGAAGAGAAATGAAGACAAACTTATATTTGAAGGTTATAATTTATTTTACAGGGGAATGTGTCACCTTCCAAAGCATGGACATAGCAGTAAGAGGTGCAGTCTGGGGTGACCCAAAGAAAAACACATTCACTGTCTCTAGTTCAATAGCAGTCTTGCCTGAAGTGCAAGACCATCATAATTCAAACAACCCGCTTAATTACAAAGGAATTTTTAAAAATATCTGAAATTTTTTAAATAAACAGAGGTGGCAGACTGGTGGAATATTATGCAAGAGTATGTACATGTGCTTCAATCAACAGAGACTTTAATAGATTTATGATAAACCTATAAGCACTGAAGACAGTACATCATGAGCATGCCTCTACTTTTTTAAGAAATAATCACAAAAAAGGGAATCACAAGAAGAAGAAACATTTCTCAAAGAGAAACCTAAGCACAAGAAACCAAATAAGTGCAAAAAAATGTTTGGGCCAGTGCTGGACAGAACTCAATACAGTGACAAAGCAACCCCTAGCCAATCACCAAGCTTAAGAGTTAATAATGAAAGCCACAGATAGTCTCACTTTTTACACTGACGAATTTACAAACTAAGAACTGTTATCTACCTCAGTTCATTTCAATCCCAGCCCTACCAAAGTTATATTACCACCACAGAAATGAACTCACAACAGTTTGACAAAACACCCAGGTATCTTGGCATGATCCACAATGATTTCTATTCCTGTTGTTACAACTGATAAATGGGAAGATATTATAAATGGGAGAGAGTATGGAGGAGGTGAACGTATTCAGATATTTGGGAGTGGACGTGTCAGGGGAAAGGGGTCTATGAAAGATGAGGTGAATCATAAAAATTGATGAGGGAAAAAGAGTGAGTGGTGCACTTAGGAGTCTGTGGAGACAAAGAACTTTGCCCTTTGGGAGGCAAAGAGGGTAATGTATGACAGTATATTTTTTACCAACGCTCTTATATGGGTGTGAACGTGGGTGATGAATGTTGCAGCGAGGAGAAGGCTGGAGGCAGTGAGATGTCATGTCTGGGGCAATGTGTGGTTGTGAATATAATGCAGAGAATTCGTAGTTTGGAAGTTAGGGGAGGTGCGGGGTTACCAAAACTGTTGTCCAGAGGCTGAGGAAGGGTTGTTGAGGTGGTTCGGACATGTAGAGAGAATGGAGCGAAACAGAATGACTTTAAGAGTGTATCAGTCTGTAGTGGAAGGAAGGCGGGGTAGGGGTCGGCCTAGGAAAGGTTTGGAGGGAGGGGGTAAGGAGGTTTTGTGTGCGAGGGGCTTGGACTTCCAGCAGGCATGCGTTTAGCGTGTTTGATAGGAGTGAAAAGGAGACAAATGGTTTTTAATACCTGACGTGCTGTTGGGGTGTGAGCAAAAGTAACATTTATGGATTCAGGGAAACCGGGAGGCCGGACTTGGATCCTGGAGATGGGAAGTACAGTGCCTGCACTCTGAAGGAGGGGTGTTTTAAAGTTGCAGTTTAAAAAACTGTAGTGTAAAAACACCCTTCTGGCAAGACAGTGATGGAGTGAATGATGGTGAAAGTTTTTCTTTTTCAGGCCACCCTGCCTTGGTGGGAATCGGCCAGTGTGATAATAAAAATAATAATTACCCAAACATCTGATGCTCCTTTGATCTCTGCCACCCCAGACAATATGCCAGTCATACATCTCTACAAGTCTTTTGGCAATTTCCATTTAAGGAACAGAGGAAAACACCTTATTTCATATTTATAATGAGTACAGTACACACCAAAATTTTTACGCGTGTTGTTTAACCTTTGACTGGGCGGAACCCCCAATCCTGAGGTGTTCCTGGTGTCGCAAAATTTAAAAAAAAAAAAAAATTATTTTTTCTTATGAAATGATAGAGAATCTTTTCCGGTTGTAATGACACCAAAAAAACGAAATTTGATGGAAAAATGACAGGAATATGCTCTCACGAAGTTAGCGACCTCGGCGCTGTTTTCAAATCGGCGATTTCGCCCCCTTTGACCCTATTTTCGGCTAATTCCATTTTTTCCAGTCACACAAACTCATAGCTATTTCTTTAGAACTCCATTTTTCCTACCCATTGAGTACAAGAAACTGCCCATTTACCGATTTCAACTACCTAATAATGTGGTCAGAAATTTGCAATTTGGCCAATTTTCACGAAAAATAAAAAATATGACAATTTCAAAATAAGGTCCAGAATGAACAATGCAGACATTCCTGGCTCTAAAATAACATTTTCTTTGTTCATCAGTCATGTCTTTCCCGGGCCCCTCTGATATTACCTTGCTTTCTATTTGAATTTTTATTCAAACAAAAGTTTCGAGATTTACTGTTATGCAGACTACTGCAATACTGTAATAATTTATAAATAACATCAACCCATTTATGATGCATATTTTGAATGGCTAGTTGGACATTTAATTGGACAATGGCATCATTTGTTTACTTTTGAACATTGGCAAAAATCAAACATTTCCCCTAATATGAGCTCCATTTCTAGGTTCTTTTTATAGTAAAATCAATCAAAATCACCTCTATTTCTATAATATGTTTTCCATTCTATCAAATGAGACCAAGAAAACGAGAATACAACCATAAATACTATACGAAAATAGACCACAAAGTCGGCATTTTAATTAAAAAAAAAGGTCGGAGTTTTTTTTTCTCATTATGCACTGCGTGCTCCAGGATTTTTTTTATATGGTGCACACTGACCACACAGACCCATTCTCTCACATGTGGGCCTACCAGCTTTCTCCTGCTTGATTTGAAGCCGCTAGAATTTATGAGTATATATACGTCAAACACGGTACCTCGTAAGACATATATATACGGCCGCGACAGTCAAAGGGTTAATTAGAGATTCAAAGCTCTGGAAAACTCAGCAGTCCAGGGAGGCCTTGACTATGTCCAGTCCATATTTGTGGTTTCCTACTGTATAAATTTGGTCTTAATATTATTCTTCATATTACAGATACAGTACATTTGTGACAAGCTTGTGAGCACAGTGCCACATAAAGAAGAAAAAGTGCAAAAGTGCAGTGTTCCACTCTGTTCCTTGTGCTCAAGGATTGGCACACAAAATGCTCCATGTGTACAGTACAAAACAAAAACTGAAATAGCTTACAATTTTGGTCCTTTCCTAGCTTTCACTGCACTCAATAAGCATGTCACAAACCCTGCATTACCCTTAATTAGCTTAGACAAAATATGCCCGAGCAAACCTGTGGTGGATGATGACGGGCCAAAAATACTTGTGGGTGAGTAGTCTGCAGCACAAGTGAAGTTTATCAGTCAAGTGCTCAGCATAGTCCAGTAATATCAATATGTAAAAAAGTATAACATGAGTTTATACTTTCTTTCAGCACTACATAATGCTATCTACAAATTATTTATAGCAATTTACTTAAAGATAAAAGAGAGACTGACCCTTGACAGTTTGCCGAAGCTGATTAATCTCATCGTCGGTTAACGTAAAATCTTGGTTCTTGAGGTCCGTCAGAAGAGATTCTGTCGTCTTCTCCAGGGCAACGACCCCTCTAATACCTTCTACTAATTGCACAGGCTGTAAGAAACAGTTATACTCATTAAAAACTTGAAGGTTATAGCAACAATATTTTGTTAATACAAATAAGGAAGTACATTGCCTGCGCTCTGAAGGAGGGGTGTTGATGTGGTGCAGTGTTTTAACTGTAGTGTAGGCGAGCCTCTGGCAAGACAGTGATGGCGTGAATGATGAAAATATTTCTTCTCTTTCAGGTTAATCTGCCTTGGTGGGAAACAGCCGATGTGTTAATAAAAAAAATAAGGATTAAATCATGTAGTAGGAAAGATTGAACCTATTACAAACGAGTCCTAAAACTCATTTCACGATTTGTTTGCAATCGTGTTTATATGTTTTTGTGAAACCAATAAGGATTACCTGATAAGACATAAGTGATGACAACAGGAGATTGATAGAATTTATACCCATCCAACAGTGGAAGGGAAGGGAAAGGAGTGCCAATTATATGCAATAACCATGGAACATCCAAGTAATTAGATAAAATAATTGAGAGAGACTCAGTGACTACAGTTTATATAAGATCCTCCTATAATTGCTATATTAGTAATGATTATACAGTAGATGTACTAGCAAATTTAAGTGAAAAGCACTCATAAGCATTAACCCTTTCAGGGTTTCGGCCGTACTAGTACGGCTTACGAGCCAGGGTTTTTGACATACTAGTACGCCTAAATTCTAGCGCCCTCAAATCTAGTGAGAGAAAGCTGGTAGGCCTACATGTGAAAGAATGGGTCTATGTGGTCAGTGTGCACAGTATAAAAAAAATCCTGCAGCACACAGTGCATAATGAGAAAAAAGAACTTTGACCATGTTTTTGGATTAAAACAGCGACTTTGCACTGTATTTTCATATGGTATTTATTGTTGTATTCTAGTTTTCCTGGTCTCATTTTATAAAAATGGAACACATAAATTTCAGAAATTGAGATGATTTTAACTGGTTTTTCAAAGAAAAGTACCTTTAAATTGAGCTCAAAGTAGCAGAAATGTTTGATTTTTACCAAAGTTCAAAGTAAAACAAATCATGCTATGCGTCCAATACACCTCAACTGGGAGTCTAATATTCTTTCACAAGTGCGCTGATATTATTTATACCATTTCTACACTAAAGCAGTAGTCTGCATAACAGTAAATTTTTCTATTTTTTTGTGAGAATAAAAATTCAAAGTGGAAAGCAAAAGAATGTAAGAGGGGCATGGGGACATGACTAATGAACAGAGGAAATGTTATTTTAGTGCCAGGAATGTCTTTCTTGTTATTCTTGACCCTATTTGGAAATTGGCATCTTTTGAAATTTGTGTGAAATTGGCAAAATTGCTAAATTCTGACCACTGTATTGGATAGTTGAAATTGGTAAATGGGTGGTTTCTTGTTTCTCATTCGATAGAAAAAAATGGAGTTCAGGGGAAATATTTATGATTTCTGTCAACATGTGCACTGGAATTGGTCGAAAATAGGGCTCAAAGTGGGCAAAATCGCCAATGCGTAAACATCATCGATACCGCTAACTTCGCGAGAGCATAATTCCGTAAGTTTTCCATCAAATTTCATATTTTTGGTGTCATTATGATTGGGAAAAGATTCTCTATCTTTTCATAAGAAATTTTTTTTTTTTTTTTTTTTTTAAATTTGGCCGACCCTGAGAACAAGTCTCTGAGAGGGCCTGTCGACCCTGAAAGGGTTAATCAATTTTATCCACACAGTAATAACACTGCATCTCAAGTTATTATAAAAGATGCTAGAAAAGTATGAATGGTTATACATGTATTTGGTTTGCTAATGACTTTCAAAAACTGCAGCCTATTCTCAAGAGAGAGACTGGATGCTAAACTTTTATATTTAATCTGAAACTTGACTGGGAAGTGAGAACATGGAGACCATGAGAGTACATTGCTAACATGCTCCCTACACACATGAATCTAGAATTCCTATGCAAATCTATTAATACAGTAACAAACAAAGAATTAAGTCTGTCTAACAGCAAACATGCACTGAGACTATGTACTCGTTTCCCTTCTGTATAAACTGGACCCGACTCATCAGGTGGTCACCAGGAGAGCCTTGCCTAAGGTCGGGCCACAAAAATAGCAACAAAAAATAAAAATTCACAAGTGTGTCAGTTATAATATGATGCACTTTTTTATTTTTTTAACACACCAACCATCTCCCACCAAGGTGAGGTGACTCAAAAAAGAATAAATACTTTCACCATCATTCACTCTAGTAGGACCGCCGTATCCACGGGTCTGGTTTCCGCAGTTTCATTTATCCGTGGTTTACCCTGGCCTGAAAATAACCCATAAGTTTGCTTAATAAGAACACCAAGGTGCAAAAGTAGTGATAGTGACAGTTTTTCAAAGCCTAAGAGAAATCGTGAAATGCTTCCCATCAGTGAAAAAGTGCTAATTCTCGACTTATTGTGCATAATTTACCAATTAAACTTTACCATAGGTATGTATGTAAACAAAAAAAGTACTTAAATATAGGGTTCATTACTATCCGCAGTTCTGGGCATCCACAGTAGATCTTGGAATGTATCCCCCAGGGATACAGGGGTCCTACTGTATATACAGTGATACCTCTCATATCTGAACTATGTGGGCTGAGACCAGTTCAGAAACACGGAGTTTCCGGATATGTGAGGGGGGAATGCACATCCGTATCATCCATATCACATCCATATCGCCATCGGCAATGACACTGTAGGTTTAAAAAATGAGTCCAACGTTGTGTGGCGGTGTGGCCAGACACTCTTGGCTCAAATAACAGCCTCCAGGATATTATGGACCACAGGACCATAACTTTTCAAACGGGCTGTGGACAGTGGTTGCTCCAAATACGTACTCCAAAAGTGTTTCAACACTTGCCCTTGCTGCTGAAGTTTTTGGTCTTGGAGGCATTGGGTCGTCGTCGTCATCATCACTTTCGGAATGTTCCAGGTGCAACACTGATTTTGCAATCTCTGCCATGGAACCGCACCACCATCATGCGCACCTGTTCAGTTAGGAGACAATAGGGGGACTGAGAACAGTGTGTGGCAGGGTGACGAAGAACGCAGCTCCTAGTGGCCAACCAGTACACTAAAGTGTGGACTAAATTTGATTCAGCCTTCTGCCGTATCCAAACAGCTGCTCGGATGTTTCAGTAATAATTTTAAAATTTTGCCCTTTCCCAGGGCCTGTTCGAATATTGGCGAGGTTCGGATAATGGCAGGCTGGATATGCGAGGTATCACTGTACTTCTACAGTATTACTGTTACCATTCTTCCATCAATGTACTCTTTCTTTTCACAATCTGAACCACACTAAGAGTTCAAAAACTATTATTTTTTGTAAACATTACGATATTAAAAAAAATTGTTATGGCTCTTATGGAGTTGTGAGGAATGCTGCCTCATTTTTCCCATGTTTTTCATTATATGTTACACAAATCATTGATAGCACAATTTTCAGGAATGTAGCCATCATAAATTATGATCATCCATGTTATCTTCTAATTACTAATGCACGACAGCCATAATAGCTAAGTGAGATAAAAGAGGATGTCTGATATCAGGTTGCCTAGATGACAAATGTTTGTAATTATTATTTTTAATACATCAGCTGTTTCCCACTGAGGTAGGATGACCCGAAAAAGAAGAAACACTTTCATCATCACTCACTATCACTATTTTGCCAATACATACTACAGTTCAAAAACTAAAATATCTCCACCCCTCCTGTATTAACTAAAAAAGTTAAAATTCCAGCCTCATGCTGCTGCTGTATGTGAAGTGGCAGGATCTACCATACCCATCCTCTCCTGACTACCAAATGCACGCACGCACACACAAAGACGAGTCAAAAGGATGTTAGGAAGTATTTCTTCATCCAGAGTTGTCTGGCAAGTGATGTAGTGAAGGCAGGAACCATACATAGTTTTAAGACAGGGTATGATAAAGCTCATGGAGCAGGGAGAGAGAGGACCCAGTAGTGGTCCGTGAAGAGGCGGGGCCAGGAGCTGAGTCTCAACCCCTGCAACCACAAATAGGTGAGAAATAGGTGAGAAACCACACACACACACACACACACACATGGGGCCAGGAGCTGAGTCTTGACCCCTGCAACCACAATTAGGTGAGTACACGCAGGTGTACAGGGTTCAGGATCCTGTATACTGTGTATGTTAGGCCTATACTGGAGTATGAAGCCCCAGTTTGGAACCCACACCTAACCAAGCGCGTAAGGAAACTAGAGAAAGTGCAAAAAGTTTGCAACAAGACTAGTCCCGGAGCAAAGGGGCATGTCCTACAAGGAGAGGTTAAGGGAAATCAACCTGATGACACTGGAGGACAAGAGAGATGTGGGGATATGATAATGACACGTGAAATACTGAGAGGAATCAACAAGGTAGACAGTGACGAGATGTTCCAGAGATGGGACACAGCAACAAGGGGTCACAGTTGGAAGCTGAAGACTCAGATGAATCACAGGGATGTTAGAAAGTATTTCTTCAGTCACAGAGTTGTCAGGAAGTGGAATAGTCTGGGAAGTGATGTAGTGGAGGCAGGATCCATACATAGCTTTAAGAAGAGATATGACAAAGTAATGGAGCAGGAAGTGTGATCTAGTAGCGACCAGTGAAAAGGTGGGCCCATGAGCTGTGACTTAACCCTTGCAACCACAACTAGACAAGTACAACCAGGCGAGTACACACATACACTTCACCAAACCTGGCAAGATTGCCGGCCTTTTCTTTGTGGAAACACAAAATAACAAATAAATACAAACTCCTACTTAATATTCAGTACATACTAACCTTTATTCTTATGTGTGTTAATTCTCTAGTTCATATTCATGTAATATTTTTCTTTAATTTAGGAGATGTTAGAGAAACAATGATCTCCAGGGACCATTAGCAAACAGATAACCTGAAAACTTTAATGCAATATTAATATTAAAATAATGCATTACCTTAAAATTAAGATGATAAAAACACTACCTGAAAACTTGAGAGAACGATTTCATTTTCTGAAGCATTGACAGTTCCCACGTTTTCAACTATTTCAACTAAGTCCGAGATAAACTTTGCATCGTAGATTCCTCTCTCCTCCCATATGTTGAAGATCCGAATAATCTTGGGCCGAATCTTTTCATCTCTGTTGAAATTTGTGAAAGTATCATAATTATTAAGACTGAAAAATCCATTCCACTTATTAAATAATATTCCATTAAAATTGCTTCAGCTCAACAATATATGTATATAAAATATTAGCTATATTAAGTGTTAAAAATAATTTAGTAACTCTTATCTCTGTAAATATTTTATACAAAAAACTATGTAATGGTTTCTTAACAAATTCTCCTGAAGAGAAAAAAATACTACATGTGACAGGCTTGTGAGCACAGTGCCACATAAAGAAGAAAAAGTGCAAAAGTATATATAGTCCATACTCTTTATAAGGTACAGCTATGGGTTATTTGTGTATTGTTCCAGTCATGGTATTGTGCCTTTTTTGTTAGTTACAATATAGCATTCTATCCATCTATCTATCTATCCTGATCACCTGGGCTAAAATGCCTACATTGAAGTGCATGCAACCAGCACCAACTGCCTGAATGATCAAGGTGGTAACCAGGAGGTTTAGTCTGCTCCTGGAACTGTCTACAGATAAACTAAAGGTAAAGAATGACCAAACACGCCTTCAATTTGACTTTTTTTCCTAACACACCATAAAACTACTAAGTCAAGGTGACCCCCACACACACATTATTACCACTCAAGCTCTGTCTGCTTTTTCCAAACACCTGTTATTTGTAAATGCATTAATAACTTAGTAGTTAATATTTCTGACCTGACTAGAGGTGCTGCTTCTTTGATGGCTGTAGCAAAGTGCTGGACGAGGTCGAGGAGTTTCTTGCGGCGGCTGTTCTGTACAATGTCGTTGCACACATAAAACAGAGTGAGTCGATGATGGACCTTGGCTGGAAATGTTAGGAAGGTCAATAATTTTAATGAGAGGGAAGTGGAAGAGGGGAAAAGAAAAGAGCAGTGGAAGAGAGGTAGGAGAAAGATGGAGGAAGAGGAAGAAGATGAAGGAGTAAACAGAAAAGAGAAAGCTGAGAAAGAATAGTAGATGAGGAGCAGGAAAAGGGCATTGGAGCAGGGAAAAGAGAAGCAGGGAAAGAGAAGACTAGAGGAAGAGGAATAGACTAAAAGACGAAAAAGCTAGAGGAAAAGAAGATACAAGAAGAGGAGGAGGAGGTACAAGGAAGAGGAGGAGGGTAGAGAAGAGGAGGGGGTAGAGGAAACGAAGAAGGCAGTAAGAAATAAGGTAGAAGGAAAAAAGACAAGCAAAAGAAGGAGGAGGAAGAGAAGGAAGTAGAATGAAGGGGAAGAGGAGGAAGGACAAAGAAGCAGAATGAAGAGGAGTCAGGAGAAAAAAAAGGTGAAAGAGGAAGAGAAGGTAGGGGAAATAGTAGTAGGGAAGAGGAGAGAAGAAGAGAAGGCAGGGGGAAGAAGTTCTGGGAAAAGGAATAAGGGGAAGATACAAAAAGGAGAAAATGTAGGGTAAAGAGGTAAGTGGAAATAGGAAAAGGTAGGGGGAAAGAGGAAGAGGCAGGAGGAAAAAGGTAAGGGGAATGAGTTAGGGGATGAGGAGGTAGGGGAAGAAGCAGGAAGTTAGAGGTTGGCATAGGGGAAGGGGAGGTAAGGGACGGGGAAAAAGTCGAAAGAGGAGAAAGGGGAAGAGGTAGGGAGAGAGAGAACAGGGCATAGGGAGAAGAGGCAGGAAACAAAGAGTAGTAAGAAGAGGAAGAAGATAAAGTAGGAGGAAAAAGAGAAGGTAGGAGGAAGATAAGGTAGGAGGAACATGAGAAGGTAGGAGGTAGAAGAGAAAGTAGGAGGTAGAAGAGAAGGTAGGAGGAAGAAGAAAGGTAGGAGGAGAAGAAAGTAGGGGGAAGAAGAAAAGGTATGAGGAAGAAGAGAAGGTAGGAGGAAGAAAAGAAAGTAGGAGAAAGAAGAAAAGGTAGAACACACTCCCTAGTGTTAAGTGAACACTAGGGAGTATGTCCTACAAGTAGTGGTTGTAACACAGAACAGTGTTCATAACACTAGGGAGTATGTCCAGTACAATGTAGTGGTTGTTAACACAAGAACAAGTGTTCAGTGAACACTAGGGAGTATGTCCAGTATAATGCAGTGTATATAGTTACTAACACAAGAATAAATGTAAAGCAAGCACCTTTGCGTACAGCGCGAGACCATGCCTGGATGATGGAATGGTGATGGTTTTTGTGCTGGAGACACCACCGGGACAGTGACTGGATATCCTCGGACGTCTCTCGCACAGCCGAGAGACGCTTTTCCAAGGACCGAGAGTCCATCTTGTTTTCCTTGCTCTTACTCATTATGTACAATTTGAGCAATTTTTTACAAGAAGGCATTTAAATTTCTCTTATTACTTTAGCACTTATTAATGGCTTTTCAGCATCCACCATTTTTATCTTTACCACATTTATTCACTACTTTTCTAAGCAATAATAATATGGATTCATCTTCCTCTAGTTAAATTTTTCATCATACAACAGTCACTAATGAAAGACACCGCTACATCTTACAGATATTCACAAACTAGTTTTCTAATATCTTTATAAAATTTATCAAAATTATTATCTAGCATACAACATGTTCACAATAATTTTCACCTTGACCTCATTTTTCAGTCAAGCATGACATGCTGTCGTCAGGTGCAAAATAGTGAAATTAGAAATATATTTTTTAAACTATACACATTCATTGTCAATCATATTTCAATTTCCAGTTGATGGTACAGGTACATTAAATATAAATCACAGTGTATGCAGTAATGTTCTTTAACAACAATGCCTTTTGAAAAGTAATGTACAACACATCTTCAGCAGGGGTTCACTTTTCATCTCTTTATACCACTGTTTATCTGAGGAGACAAAAACACATTTTAATCCTCACACTAAAGACTTCTCACAATAATTCTCCCTCAAAACAAGGTCATCCCCTCACAAAAATCTATCAAGGGCCCAAGAAATTACCAGACTTGCCACGTAATGGAAGACAGCTTTCTAAGACAAGTTGTCCCATATGTTACTCATGGCAACAACATACTGAATCTTGCTCAGACCACAAATTGTGACCTTGTCCATTCATACAAGGTAAGAGAGAAACTACGAAACTGTCTACATCATTCGGTGCAAAATAAACACAAAAGTTGAGATCTAAAATAATATTACAATAATTCCCAACTACAAAGCAGCAAAATTTATTACGATGCTCCAAGACACCAGTAATGTAAACTGGATTACACTACTAAATGCAAGCAATGTAGAGGAAATTTGCTATTATATACCTCAAACATCCTTGCTTACTCTGAGCTATTCTCCACACTATCCTAAACTCAATATTATGGTATTGGTGCAGCAAACCATCTGAAACCCATGATTATTCAGCAGAAATCTGAAGTAAGAATAATCGCTCATTTCAGGTTCCACACAACACACCACTACTACTATTCAAAAGTTTAAATTTGCTTAGCATACAAAATATTATATTATGGTAGTGAACTTTCAAGAGTAATATTACCAATGGTGACACTGTCCAAATTACTTGTGCTCTACTACCTAGAGTATTGTTCTGTGTTGATGGCTTCATTCAAGACTGGAATGCCCAAAAGTAATGAATAAGTACTGTCTTGTGCAGAGAAACAAATGATAATATATGAAAGATACTGGAGGGCCTATTCCCAAACCTACACATTACCATAACAACATACTGGAGTGAAGATATGGGAGAAAATAAACCCACTGAAAGCAGGACAGCAATGGACATAATTAACAAACACTGTATCAACATTCCTGGGAGATGACTATTCAACATACCATCAGTAGATACATACTGTATCAGAAATACTGTAGGAACAAGTTTAAAAGTCTTCAAGAGGAAACTGAATCATTACCTCTGCCAAGTGCCAGATCGACCAGACTGTGATGGATTTGTTGACCGGTGGGCCACCAAAACCAAACAGCCTGGTTAATCAGGCAAGCACCAGAAGAGCCTGGCCCCAGGCCAGGATGCAGGGTACAAAGACTCAAAACCAGCCATAGGTACACCATCAATCTTGCAGAATCATGGAAGGAGACTAAAATGACAACATTATCTAATGGTTGGAATTTTTTTTATATATATAATCTCTATACTGAGTTTGACTATGTGGGTTTGAGGCCAGCAATTTTCATCGAAACCCTCAGAGAGCAGGAGAAATAGACATTTCAGAAGGTGTGATGATGTGGATAGGAGAAAATGACAGCAATCCTGGTTAACAAGTGTTGACAGATGAAGCCATCACAGAAAAGGCTCATGGTACAGGTATCATCAGTGAAGAACACAACAGAGATGATAAAGAATAGCCAGAGAGATTACCAAAAGTGTCTGCTGTAAGAGATGTGACTGATATTCTGATTAAGTACACTACCTCTCAGACAAAAGAGAAATGAAGGCTGATTTTCCATATGTATGAGTACTTAGAAAATTTATCAGGGAGTAGCATCTATGCAGCAAACAACTAAAGGTTTATTTAGTGTAGCATATTCTTTAAACATGGGCCTAGTTCAAAGTCTCCCTAACCATATACATACAAGTAATAGTATCTTTATTTACTACAAGTGCATGTACATGGTATACATGCCTAGCTGACATCAATGACATACTGCTATATAGTTTAAGCCCTTTGTTATGCTGAGCATTTTGGGCAAATTAGGTAAGTGTCCCAGGATGCGACCCACACCAGTCGACTAACACCCAGGTACCCATTTTACTGATGGGTGAACATAGACAACAGGTGTAAAGAAACACGCTCAATGTTTCTACCCTGGCTGGGAACTGAACCCAGACCCTCGCCGTGTGGAGCGAGAACTTCAGCCACCAGGCAACCAGAGCCTCCAATGCGTACTTCTTCTCAACCATCTACACGTACATTAGTGGAGCTTCACAGCTTCTCTGACTCAGGATAAAAGTGATTTTTGAATCACCAGAAGGAGGAGGAGGCCACTACCCAGACATCCACAGATCACTTCCAGAGGGTGGACAAAGGTACTGAGTCTCACCAGGAGCCTGAATCAGTGCCATCAACTTCAGATGCTACAACATTCAGGCCAACACCTTCTCACCATCTGTTTTATTAAATTTATATTATTTACAAACTTTATTATAAACATTACAAACTTCATTTCATTTATAACATGTATTGTTTACTAGTGTACAATATGTATTTTTCCCCGTGTTCACATATACTGTATACATACATATGTTGGGCTTGCAAACAACTGCTCGGAACCAAACGTTTTCATACATAGGGGAGTGACTGTAACTATTTTAAAAGAAATGAACTCCATTAGGTACATAACCTTCCTTTTCAAGACTGAAGTATTTTTTTAGTTTACATTCTATACAATTTAAATTTATAGGGAGTCTGAGTCAGTACATTTTTACTGACTCCGACTCCAGTAGCCCAAGAATTGCTTCCGATTCTGACTCTGACTCCACAGCCCTGGTTGTGAGGAAGAACATTGTTGTTGTGAGGGAGGACATTGTTGTTGTGATGGAGGACATTGTTGTTGTGGGGGAGAACACTGTTGTTGTGAGGAAGAACACTGTTGTTGTGAGGAAGAACACTGTTGTTGTGAGGGAGAATGTTGTTGCGAGGGAAAACATTGTTGCTGTGAGGTAGAGCAATGCTGTGAGGGAGAACATTGTTGTTGTGAGGGCGAGCAATTTTGTTGTGATGGGGAATGTTGTTGTTGTGAGGGAGGACATTGTTGTTGTGAGGGAGAGCATTGTTGTGGAGGGAGGACATGTTTTGGGAGACACTGTTGTGTAGGGAGACATTGTTGTGGGGGACATTGTTGTGAGGGAGAAGCATTGTGAGGAGACATTGTTGTGAAGGAGGACACGTTGTTGTGAGGAGGACATTGTGTGAGGGGACATGTTGTGAGGGAGACATTTGTTGTGAGGAAGACATGTTGTTGAGGAGGACATGTTGTGAGGAGACATTGTTGTGAGGGAGACATTGTTGTGAGGGGACATTTGTTGTGAGGGAGGCATTGTTGTTGTGAGGAAGGAAATTGTTGTTGTGAGGGGAACATTGTTGTGAGGAGAGCATGTTGTTGTGAGGGAGAGACATATGTGTGAAGGAGAATTGTTGTGAGGAGAAGCATTGTTGTGAGGAGCATGTGTGAGGAGCATTGTTGTGAGGGAGACATTGTTGTGTGAGGGAGAACATTGGTAGGGTGTTGTAGGAGGGACATGTGTGAGGAGGACATTGTTGTGATGGGGAACGTTGTTGTTGTGAGGGAAAACACTGTTGTGAAAGAGGACATTGTTGTGAAGGAGGGCATTGTTGTGAAGGAGGACATTGTTGTGAAGGAGGGCATTGTTGTGAGGGAGGACACTGTTGTGAAGGAGGACATTGTTGTGAGGGAGGACACTGTTGTGAAGGAGGACATTGTTGTAACGGATGACAATGTTGTAATGGAGAACATTGTAAAGGAGGACATTGTTGTGAGGGAGGACATTGTTGTGAGGGAGGACATTGTTGTGAAGGAGGACATTGTTGTGAAGGAGGACATTGTTGTGAGGGAGGACATTGTTTTGAAGGAGGACATTGTTGTGAGGGAGGACATTGTTGTGAAGGAGGACATTGTTGTGAAGGAGGACATTGTTGTGAAGGAGGACATTGTTGTGAAGGAGGACATTGTTGTGAGGGAGGACATTGTTGTGAAGGAGGACATTGTTGTGAGGGAGGACACTGTTGTGAAGGAGGACATTGTTGTGAGGGAGGACACTGTTGTGGGGGAGGACATTGTTGTGAAGGAGGACATTGTTGTGAAGGAGGACATTGTTGTGAAGGAGGACATTGTTGTGAGGGAGGACACTGTTGTGAGGGAGGATATTGTTGTGAGGGAGGACATTGTTGTGAAGGAGGACATTGTTGTGAAGGAGAACATTGTTGTGAAGGAGGACATTGTTGTGAGGGAGGACACTGTTGTGAAGGAGGACATTGTTGTGAAGGAGGACATTGTTTTGAAGGAGGACATTGTTGTGAAGGAGGACATTGTTGTGAAGGAGGACATTGTTGTGAAGGAGGACATTGTTGTGAAGGAGGACATTGTTGTGAAGGAGGACATTGTTGTGAAGGAGGACATTGTTGTGAAGGAGGACATTGTTTGAAGGAGGACATTGTTGTGAAGGGAGGACATTGTTGTGAAGGAGGACATTGTTGTGAAGGAGGACATTGTTGTGAAGGAGGACACTGTTGTGAGGGAGGACATTGTTATGAGGGAGGACATTGTTGTGAAGGAGAACATTGTTGTGAAGGAGGACATTGTTGTGAAGGAGGACATTGTGGGATTTGGAAGGAGGACATTGTTGTGAGGGAGGACATTGTTGTGAAGGAGAACATTGTTGTGAAGGAGGACATTGTTGTGAAGGAGGACATTGTTGTGAGGGAGGACATTGTTGTGAAGGAGGACATTGTGAAACATGTTGTGAAGGAGGACATTGTTTTGAAGGAGGACATTGTTGTGAGGGAGGACATTGTTGTGAAGGAGAACATTGTTGTGAAGGAGAACATTGTTGTGAAGGAGGACATTGTTGTGAGGGAGGACACTGTTGTGAAGGAGGACATTGTTGTGAAGGAGGACATTGTTTTGAAGGAGGACATTGTTGTGAGGGAGGACATTGTTGTGAAGGAGAACATTGTTGTGAAGGAGAACATTGTTGTGAAGGAGGACATTGTTGTGAGGGAGGACACTGTTGTGAAGGAGGACATTGTGAAGGAGGACATTTTTGTGAAGGAGGACATTGTTGTGAGGGAGGACACTGTTGTGGGGGAGGACATTGTTGTGAGGGAGGACATTGTTGTGAAGGAGGACATTGTTGTGAAGGAGGACATTGTTGTGAAGGAGGACATTGTTGTGAGGGAGGACACTGTTGTGGGGAGACATTGTTGTGAGGAGAGGACAGTTGTTGAGGGAGGACACTGTTGTGGGGGAGGACATTGTTGTGAGGGAGGACATTGTTGTGAGGGAGGACACTGTTGTGAAGGAGGACATTGTTGTGAGGGAGGACACTGTTGTGAGGGAGGACATTGTTGTGAGGGAGGACACTGTTGTGAGGGAGGACACTGTTGTGAGGGAGGACACTGTTGTGAAGGAGGACACTGTTGTGAGGGAGGACATTGTTGTGAGGGAGGACACTGTTGTGAGGGAGGACACTGTTGTGGGGGAGGACATTGTTGTGAGGGAGGACATTGTTGTGAGGGAGGACACTGTTGTGAAGGAGGACATTGTTGTGAGGGAGGACACTGTTGTGAGGGAATACATCAAAGTTGCAACAGAGATCATTGTTGTAAAGAAACACCTTAAGAGGAAGGACTTTGTTAGATAAGTATATATTGAATTCATTTTCTTTTACTTTTAAGCTGATCAAGATGCTGTGTATATGCTTGTTTATTGAGTTGTGCAATGGAGACTGGTGTATTTTGGGTCTATGGAATAGCATTTTTTTTTTTGTAACAAAGCCTAACCTATAAAACCAAACCCAAGCTCACACACTCCCTGATATGTCAAAAGGTTCCCATCTGCCAACATCTTCAATAATATTGTTAAAAAGCACCTACTAAATCTCACATAACTGTTATATCCATTAACTATCTGTAAATTATCAACCTTTGATTACACCACCTCAATTAAATCACCACATAAAATGCAGATCATTGAGCTGATGCAAATTTTATGTCCAGTAGGAAGGGGAATGGTTCAGCATAAGTGGAACCTGCTTAGCATATGCCAGTAGACCTACTGCAGTTCACCTTTATTCCAATTTGTTTTTGAAAAGATCTTCACTTGCTAGTTTTTCCATCACCTGAGTGACATACCTGTGACTGATTTTGATAGTTATACTCTTGCAACTCAGCCTGAAGCCAGACTTCACTGTTGACTGCATGATCAACCAGTCTCTTGATACCCTGACCTTGCACACCTGTAATCATAACATGCCTGATCTGGAACTTTCAGCAGAAATTTGTCCCAATCTGCTTGAAAATCTGAGATCACTATACAAACTTCACCTGCAGCTCTGATCACTGGACACCTGTCATGTCCTGTCAGTGGCAATTTACTTGCACTTCTGATCATCAAATACCTGTCACATTACATCACCCACACCACTGGCCACCAGACATCCGTCACATCCAATCATCTGCACCACTGATCACCAGACACCCACCACATCATATCACCCACACCTATGACCACCAGACACCTGCCACATCCTGTCACCCACACCTCTGACCACCAGACACCCACCACATCATATCACCCACACCTATGACCACCAGACACTCATCACATCCTGTCACCCACACCTCTGACCACCAGACACTCATCACATCCTGTCACCCACACCTATGACCACCAGATACTCATCACATCCTGTCACTCACACCTCTGACCACCAGACACCCACCACATCATATCACCCACACCTATGACCACCAGACACCCACCACATCATATCACCCACACCTATGGCCACCAGACACCTGCCACATCCTGTCACCCACACCTCTGACCACCAGACACCCACCACATTCATATTACCCACACCTATGACCACCAGACACCTGCCACATCCTGTCACCCACACCTCTGACCACCAGACACCCACCACATCACATCACCCATACCTATGACCACCAGACACCTGCCACATCCTGTCACCCACACCTCTGACCACCAGACACCCACCACATCATATTAACCACACCTATGACCACCAGACACCCACCACATCATATCACCCACACCTATGACCACCAGACACCCACCACATCATATCACCCATACCTATGACCACCAGACACCTGCCACATCCTGTCACCCACACCTCTGACCACCAGACACCCACCACATCATATCACCCACACCTCTGACCACCAGACACCCACCACATCATATCACCCACACCTATGACCACCAGACACCTGCCACATCCTGTCACCCACACCTCTGACCACCAGACACCCACCACATCATATTACCCACACCTATGACCACCAGACACCTGCCACATCCTGTCACCCACACCTCCTGACCACCAGACACCCACCACATCATATTACCCACACCCCTGACCACCAGACACCTGCCACATCCTGTCAACCCACACCATTGATCACCAGACACCCGCCACATCCCATCACCCACACCTCTGACCACCAGACACCTCACATCCCATCACCCACACTTCTGACCACCAGACCCCCGTCACATCCCATCACCCACACCACTGACCACCAGACACCCGTCACATCCCATCACCCACACCACTGACCACTAGACACCCGTCACATCCCATCACCCACACCTCTGACCACCAGACACCCGTCACATCCCATCACCCACACCTCTGACCACCAGACACCCGTCACATCCCATCACCCACACCTCTGACCACCAGACACCCGTCACATCCCATCACCCACAACCTCTGACCACCAGACACCCGTCACATCCCATCACCCACACCTCTGACCACCAGACACCCGTCACATCCCATCACCCACACCTCTGACCACAGACCCCCGTCACATCCATCACCCACACCTCTGACCACCAGACACCCGTCACATCCCATCACCCACACCACTGACCACTAGACACCCGTCACGTCCCGTCACACGTCCCAGGACGTCACAAAATACAGCCAGGAATTTCATAGCTGCTGACTAAGATCGAGCCTTCTGACTGCTGCTCCATATTTAACCACAATTTCCACCCTCCCGGCGCCACGTAACCACTTTGCAACTCCACTGCAACACTGCACACGCATAACTTCACTAAAGTAATGAGCCTAAACACCATGGCAAGTCGTACTTGAGGAGTAATTGATCACTTTTGTGCCATTGTTGGTGGGTTCATGAGGGACTCGCACTCACACAAACAAACATGGTGGACACCATCACTAAACCAAACACCTCTTACACTCCACTCTAATTGACTCTATTACGACACCAGCTCGCTTAATTAGCCACGAAAATGTCAGTTAAAATGGTAACTAGGACAGTGTTTAAGTACGGTTGAGTAAAAGGGTAATTACGGTGAAATATGCTATGTTTGGTGGTATAGTTGTGACAGAAAATGTACCCATGTTATTTTTCAATGAAAACAAGTATTGCTTGGTATTTTTATGGGTAAACTATATGAAAAAGGGTATGTCTGTTTTATTAATAATAATAGTAATAAATAATATCTTTATTTACTACAAGTACATATACAAGGTACACAGACCATAACTGACATCAGTGACGTACTACTATATAGAAAGCTTGTTATGCTGAGCATTTCGAGCAATTAGGTCAGTTTTGTCCCAGGAAGCGACCTACACCAGTCCACTAAACCCTGGTACCCATTTTGCTGATGGGTGAACATAGACCATCGACACCATGCTCAGCCTTTCTAGGGTAGGGTAGGTGCCTGAGCCCAAGCTTGTAGCTCACAAGACTGTTATTCCCATTAGCCCTCTTGGGGCGGGGATGGCAGACCAGAGAGGCCTAGCTTCTCCCTACGAGCCCCGTGAGGGCGGGGAATGTGGCTAGGCCTGGGGACAGTTGGTCCCAAAGATGAGGGGGTACTTGTGCCTCCTCCCATGGGAGACTTAGGTCTCAGAGACACTCCCTAGATAGGGAACCAAGGCCGGGCCACCACTTGGAAAAGGCCCGGGCCGGGAGAATACCGGCGAATCTTTAATAATAATAATGAACATAGACAACCACTCAATCAGTGTAGGAAACACGTCCGATGTTTTCACCCCATCGCCGGGAATCGAGCCCGGACCCTCACCGTGTGAAGCGAGAGCTTTCGCCACGAGGCAAATGCTTTTACACACTCTTTTTCAAATTTCAGCATTGTTTTTATTGGGAAAATAAGTATCAAGAGCATACTGTGGTAAAAACAATCTTAAACTTATTCTAATCCTACCTAAATAGAATGATATATGTTATAAACTACAGAAGAGTCTTTGGGCTCCAGATTTAATTAAGCAAGCAAGTCCCTTATTTCGGTAATAATTTAATGGTTATAATCATAACCAAAATTTTTAAAGAGATGGAGAGGTAAGCCAGTGGAAGGCCTCGGTCAGGTGGCCACAAGCTCCAGCTGTAGGTCATCATATGATTAAGACCTGTATCAGGAATAAGTAAGTTTACTCAGGTATACACAAATACAGTTACACAGATTATCATACATAGCAGCATATGTGTAGAGGACCTGGGATAACCCAAAAATGTCAGAGTGACTTATTTCCATTGGGGTCCTTTTACCTTATTATTATAATATAAAGCCTATAATATCTTATTATTATTCTATAATGGAGATAACATCTCTTTATCATACTAATAAGACTATCTACTACACGAGGGTCATTAAGACTATCTACAATACAAGGGTCATTACTAGGAATAAGGTAAAATTACACGTGTGTTAGCTAAAAAAAAATAAAAAATCATTCCCCTCCCTTTCTGTAGCTACATTCATCAGACACCTTTTGTCACTCTTCTTGAACTGGTTCATGCTATGACTGGCTTTGACATGTGCAGGCAGTCTGTTCCATTCCTTTATTGTTGTACAATAGAAGGTGTTTGAAGCCTGGCCACTGGCTCTGGGTACTACAAAGTTGTGCTCTCCCCCTAGTACTATGATTGCTTTGGTTCCCAACCTTGACAAAATTGGCAGCAAGATATTCTGGACACTGTGAGCAATTTTATAAACATGATTTAGCTTCAGTTGTTTTACTCTGTCTTCAACATTCAGCATATCCAACTGCTGTAATTCATCCTGGCCTACATGTTCTCTTGGACCCAGGTCCAGGATGAACCTTACTATTTTGTTCTGGGTGATTTGCAGTTTATCTTCCAGTTTTTTTTTTGTCAAGGCAGAGTACCATGAAGAGCAAGCGTAATCCATATGACATTGTATAAGGGCTAGACATAGGGTCCTGCGAGCCTCAGTAGGTAGACACTGTGCTTGTCTATAGAGGAACTTCAGTCTGGCATTCGCTTTCTTTACTACACTGTTCCCTATCAATTCTCCTGACATGCATGGGTTAAAGGGGATTCCCAGATATTTTACTGATGAAACTGAAGTGATGGGCTCTCCATTACACTGGACATTAAAATCATTTACCCTTCTCAATTTGTTTCGTGCCAAAGAGAATGGCTTCAGTTTTCCCGAGGTGTAATGATAGTTTGTTGTCTACTAACCATTTGCTGCAGGACTCCAGTTCCAGTCCCCTCAGGGAAGGTTCCTTGATGTTGGTGAGGGGCTCTTGATTTAGGAAATTGGATCTGTGCTCCAGTTCCCCGAATTAAGCCTGAATGCCTTCCACATCCCCCCCCAGGCGCTGTATAATCCTACGGGTTTAGCGCTTCCCCCTTGATTATAATAATAATAATCCAGTTCCAGTGTTTACAAAACAAATTCTGGCCACAAAATAGAGCGAAACACCAACGTCAAAGACCTGGGAGTGATCATGTCGGAGGATCTCACCTTCAAGGACCATAACATTGTATCAATCGCATCTGCTAGAAAAATGACAGGATGGATAATGAGAACCTTCAAAACTAGGGATGCCAAGCCCATGATGACACTCTTCAGGTCACTTGTTCTATCTAGGCTGGAATATTGCTGCACACTAACAGCACCTTTCAAGGCAGGTGAAATTGCTGACCTAGAAAATGTACAGAGAACCTTCACGGCACGCATAACGGAGATAAAACACCTCAATTACTGGGAGCGCTTGAGGTTCCTGAACCTGTATTCCCTGGAATGCAGGCGGGAGAGATACATGATTATATACACCTGGAAAATCCTAGAGGGACTAGTACCGAACTTGCACACGAAAATCACTCACTACGAAAGCAAAAGACTTGGCTGACGATGCAACATCCCCCCAATGAAAAGCAGGGGTGTCACTAGCACGTTAAGAGACCATGCAATAAGCGTCAGGGGCCCGAGACTGTTCAACTGCCTCCCAGCATACATAAGGGGGATTACCAACAGACCCCTGTCAGTCTTCAAGCTGGCACTGGACAAGCACCTAAAGTCGGTTCCTGACCAGCCGGGCTGTGGCTCGTACGTTGGTTTGCGTGCAGCCAACAGTAACAGCCTGGTTGATCAGGCTCTGATCCACCAGGAGGTCTGGTCACAGACCGGGCCGCGGGGGCGTTGACCCCCGGAACTCTCTCCAGGTAAACTCCAGGTTAGCTATATCTTATGGGTCTTTACCTGACACTAACAGAGCACTGTCATCTGCATACAGTAGGAGTTTGCACTTGACACTGATAGGCATGTCGTTAACATAGCATAGGAATAATAAGGGACCCAGAGTACTACCTTGGGGAACTCCACATGCTATCGGCAGGGGTTCTGATTCCTTAGTTTAATATGTTTATTATGCACCCCATACCCATCCTGTGGGCGGTAGTCAAAAGATTACAGAGGTACATAATGGGTCCAGGGACTGGACCCCAAACTTATGATAGCTGAACAAGTTACAAAGGTAATGAACTCTAGGTAGATTTGGTCACATTCATAGCACGTTACAAAGGTAATGAATTATCCTCACTCCTATACATGGTTACAGTTATGAACAAATTATAAAGTATTGAGCCACTGACACGTCCACACCTGGTCACAATTGTAATAAGTTATAAATACAGATATTAAGTGGATCATACACCCACACGAGCGCGCGCGCACACGCATACACACACGAGGGCGCACGCACAGACACATGCACACGAGCGTACACATATATGCATATACACAAGCAGTATACTCTAATGTATAGAGTATAGTGATAACTCTAACAGAACACACAACCATAATTGCGAGACACAGATCACTTTCGATATCCCGCGTATTCATTTCTCCCTATGCAAAAATGTTATGCAAGTAAAAGGCCCGAAGATCTGGAATTCATTGCCAGAACAAACTAAAGGACCCCTGTCTGCAAATCAGTTTAAGGCTCTAATAAGAAATCACCTCCGCGTTGATCCCCGGAATACCCTCCAGGTAGACTCCAGGTAGGTAGTCCACTAACACCCAGCTTCCTATTTTACTGCTAGGTAAACATGGATAACAGGTGTTTTAAGAAAAGTCTGGAGGGCTTCTGTGCAAGAGTTTTGATGGGTTGGCCTGAGAATATTAACAAAAAATGAACATTTCTTTAAGTGACATGATCTCTGATACTTGGAATATATTTTTTTCGCGTGTTTAGAATTTTGGCGGTACGGGGGACATCCTCAATGATTTTCATTGGTTTATTCTGCCTTTTTCCCAGCCCTCCAAGTTTCCAGTATGACATAATAGCAAGCAGAGATTTGACATAATCAACCAGTGATCTAATGTAAGCAAAATACATCATTTTCACAATTTTAACATTAGCTCCATACATGAGATGAACGCCTGCCACAACTCTACAGTAAGTACTCTCAGCCTTTTCACTGTCGACAAAGTTTTGTTTGGCCTGTACATTGCAGAGTCACTTGTTTGCACAGAACTGCTTAATGCCTCAAATGACGTAGTGGAAGTTTTAGCAGTAAAGGTCGAGAACCAAAACCTAGTCATTGTGGTAGTCTACAAGCCTCCGGATGCAACATCCCAGCAATTCCAGGAACAGCTGTTAAAAATTGACCACTGTCTGGAAAATCTTCCAGCTCCTGCACCCAACATCTTGCTCCTGGGGGATTTCAACTTAAGGCACCTAAAATGGAGGAATATAGCAAATAATATTGTTGCAGTAATAACACCAGGAGGCAGCTCTGATGAAAACTCACACTCACACGAGCTTTTAAATCTCTGCACAAAATTCAATTTAAACCAGCAAAAAATAGAGCCTACTAGACTGGAGAATACACTAGACCTCATATTCACTAAC